TAGAAATGCCTATGTCTCTGTATTGGCTTCAAAAGGAGCTTTAAGCGATGTAAACATCTTGGCTGGACACATCTGTGCTTAGTTAGATGAATCCCAGGATGCTGGGTGCTCAGTTGCATCTTCAGACTTCACAGGTCCTCTCAGCTTCTTCTACTAGGCTCTACCTTTGTCCATGGGCATTAGTTTTATCTGGACGTCTTCTGTGAGAAAACTACTGATTTGTACATTTATCCCAGTGACTATGATAGTGTAAGCTAACAAAGTACTCCCATGCCACGAATGTGTCTCCTGTTTAAGGTGGTTTGTGAATTCTTTTCAGTCTTCCCTAGCACCTGAGCAGCGGATTTGAATAATTGTAGATGTGGATTTAGTGCTAGATCAGACTCAGTACAGTTCCCGTTAAAAATATCATAAAATGTCCATTGACCAACAAGGAAACCGGGTTGGGTCTCTTAAGTGTGCTATCATGAAGCCAGCTAGGGCAGCACTGTAAATCAGTAATAATAATTCCAATTAAATCCACTGACAGTGGTTGAGAATATAGATGTAAAATTGTTTCCTTTCTTATTCACCTGAGAAATTAAACATGCTATAGGAAAGAAGGGAATACCAAACAGCACATTTGTGGGGTATTTTCCCTGTAATTTTTTGGTGTTGCTGTCATGTGAAGAAACAAATAATATTGCCTCATTCTCCTTATGATTTATATGGGATTTCAGATAGGGATGGGATTAATTCTCTTGTCTTGTTCAATTTTCAATCTCACCCCAACCCTATGTTCAAATAATGATGGACGATTTATAAAAAGAACCAACAAAATATACTGAATAATCAAACCTTCCAAAAAGCTTGTTTAATACTTGCTGCAATTGCTTGCCCAGATTTGATTCTATTTTTTTTTTTATATACATGTCTCTGCTCAGCTTTTTAGTAGGATTTCCATATACCTGGCTTTCAAGCACCTGGCAGTCCTAAGACACTGCACAAAGCTCGCAGAAGTAGCACAGATAAATCTTTATAAGGTAAATGTGTAACAGAGTGACCTCAGCCTGAAGTTTCCTTCTTGCCTGTTTTCTTCAGTAAGAATCTAAATGCTGTTTGAAAAAGCTGCCCCTTTTTAATGAGTTCGCTTTATAAATAATAAGGTTGCATCCATTTTCTTTTACCAAGTTAGTCATATTTTGACTATTTCATCTGCTTCTAGATCATGTAGTAATAAGGAATAAAGGCACTTTATGGACCTGATTTTCCAAACACTTACCTCACTGTACACCAGAAGTAACTCCCCTGTAGTCGTTAGGTCTGATTTCTCTCATACTTCATTCTTGCCTGGCTTCCAGAAAACGTGGGTGTGGGGAGGGGGGGACCCGGGCCAGGCAGCTCTTCTGTCCCTCTCCTTCTCAGGCTGCTTTAAGCTGTGGCTTACAACATGTTGCCATCCTCTGGGATCACACTGGTGGAAAACAGCACCAAGCATAAGGAGCCCCAAACCTTGGGGAGTCCCTTTTTTAACTTACGTACATGGTTTACGGTTACGTTAAGTCTCATTGTGAAGAAAAAACTCTGCACATTGAAACTGGCACCATTTTGGCCCATAATCTTTTGTGTTCACAGTTGTTAAAGGAAGCAGGTTGAATCTTCACAAAAATGTTAGTTTGCTGGGAAAAAAAAAAAAAACAGCTGCAGTGAAGCGACACTTTGATTTTATAATTAAAAACTCTTCAGCTGATTTAACAGTTCACTTTAGACATTTTCTGAGCTGTGGAAATATCAGTGCTTTTAAGATAATGAACATTGTATGATTGCTAATGAAATCCACACATGTATACATATATATATGCGGTCTTTATGCTATGCGTTTATCCATCTACATACATATATGCTCCTTTTAGGTTTACTCAAAAAGAAATCAAATGGGAGGGAAATCACATTTTTCAAATGTGGCTCTAATTGTCTTTTGTGCATGTTCTATAGATCATTACTGAGTGTTTACAAACCTTGCTTGGAATGGCTTTACAGCAATAGAGGGGGTAACATATCTTCATTGTTTATAAAATGACAGCTCCTAATGGACCATATTAGCTTTAACACAAACTATTAAATCCTTTTCATTAAATTATTCTGCGCTCTATTTTGGAATCTTGTTAGCTCTGGGAAGTAGGTGCAAACTCCTAAGGAAACATGAGCACACATTGAGACTATTATAGATAATGTTTATTAAATAAGCCTCTGAGGATGTTTTTCTTGGGTTGCTCTCAAGCATTTTGAAGGAGTCATGTTCCATGTTTGAGGTCCCATGTTTCTTCCTCTTAAACTATGAGCAGCTGTAGCACATGACCTACTTCTGTAGAACCCTGTAATGATTTCCTTCCTTCAGTGGCTTCAGGAGTCCCTCTTCTGCCCTGTGAAAAAAGGGACAAATATTTTAATCCAAGCAAAATGCTAAAGCAGGTTTTGTTGGTTTCAGGGAAGAAACTCAATACAGCTACATCACCGAGCGTAGGCCTCAAATTGGAACCATCTGGCCTGCAGAAGCACCATGAGATCTTTGGGGAAGGCATGGATATTTTTGCCTTGGGCTGTAACTCATACACCTGCAGAACGGGTAGACATGTTGGCAGACAAGCTGGACTCATACAGCAGTACAAGCCTTCTCTCACAGCGCCGTGGCAGTGCCGGAGTTTGGAAATTACCCTGACATGTTTCATAAATGCAATCACCGTACTGTACGCTCTCCGGATAGCAAATATTCAGCTGCACTCACTGTTGAGTTAATTCAGACAGGTCTGCAGTCCAAGGCCCGTGTCTTTTCACCCTTCTCACACAGACAGCCCCTTTGAAGGCAAAATAAGGACAAGGGAAGGAAGATGGTAAGCACAAAAACATGCATCACATTTTAGGGCTGCCTCTTGCAGGAGGTAGCCTCATGTGATATTCATGTGAACTGGATTAGATTGAGAAGACATTCTTGTTGGTAAATATTACAGCTCTTTGGGAACTTAGAAAGGTAAAAGAATACAGGTGTCAGTGCGATCTAAAATAATCCAACCCCCTAGGTGGGAGGTTTGTAAAATCTCTAGGCTGGATGCAGAAAGAAAGACGCCACACGCAGACTCTGAAGGTCATGACTCGAGAAACTGTCAGAAAGAGGTGGTGTCTGAGTCCAGCCAGAAAATGAAAATGCACATCACAGAAGCAGGAGGACACACATCCTTTGACTGGAATGTTATTAAACAATTAGGATCACAGGTTTTCCCGGAGCTCTGCACCGTGCCCCACTTTCTGCCTGCAGCCTGGCGGATGGCAGAGCAAAAGACCAGAACGTGACATTTGCACCTTTGTGATCTGTAGTTGCAAATGCTATTTTGCACCTGCAAATTTGTGCCCTGACCCTCCAGGCGCTCTTCAGACAAAACTCCCAGCAGTCCCTCGGGGCTAAAAGGTTAAGGCCTGCATAGTTGGACATCAATACCGTGTTATTCTCCTTTCAGCGATACCATGTACACAGCATCCTAGGCAGAATTTCTGATGCCAGGTTAGAAAGCATCACTGCTCACATCATGCAGCAGATACGCTGGAGGGGAAGAGGTTTTTCCCAGCCTTCTCCCTCCACCTAGAAATCGCACTGACTGTATCAGTCTTTCCATCAGGAAAGTTTACACCCTGGTTCTCAATCTGTACTTTCCCATACTCCTGAAGAAGTCCAAAGAGAACATTTTGGCCCAGCTCTGCTTTCAACGTACTCTATATTGCTAGCATCTGGAGTCACGGATGTGGGCTATCCCGACCCTGAGCCAGGGAATAAAATAGACAGAATGTGTGCAAGATTGCAGTCTAGTCCTGTGAGACGCAGTATCCTGAGCACTGCTGGCTCCTGTTGTCTTCTCCTTAGGAGGTGTTGAAGTGTTTTCAGAGCCAGATCCTCAAGGTGACTTTTTAATTGTTACATTGAGAGCTAGACTGGGGTAGTGATAAAGGAAGACTATGTATAGTGTGTAAAAAAATCAAACACAAAGTCTCTAGCTCTCCTCTCCTGCACCTCTCTGTAAGTGAGAAGCAGCTCTACAGAAGCCGACAGAACAGTGCCAGGGTAAAACAAATGACGCAGAGAGCAAAAGCAAAATATTTTCTTTTGAGATCTACAGAGACATCACGGAGATTTTATGGACAGTCAATTAAATATAACAGGAATAAAGGTGGAGCTACCTCAAAGGATAGCGCTCTGAAATGGCCTCATCAGTTCCCAACTCAGTCCTGTCTGACTTTGGAAAGGAAATCTGATGTTAGGTACTTACACATAAGAATGATGGGATACAGTATGTGTTGCTGGAGACAAACTTCCTTCTGCAATCATATTTGATTTACTTTTGCTTTTCAACATACCTTGGTTCACCTCGCCTCGCAGCAACTCCTCACTGCTGTCCATGCAGCCAAGGTAGCTTTGCCTAATACACAGCTCCCTCCAACAGTTCCCAGCACTGTTTCTGCAACAAGATGAGAGTTAATGAGGCTCAACACACTTCCTACCAAACTTTATGGGGAAAACCCCTTGAGTGAGAGCAGGAAATCCATCTTGTTAGAATTACAATGTGGTCTCAGTTCCTCAAGTAGAAACTGAAGAGAATATTGGTATTTTTCAAAATATCAAATACTAAATGTGGGGGGTTCCCCAGCCAAATTTCCCTTTGGTTCAACAGGGCAATTTTTCATTTCAGTGTCATTTAGATTTCTGAAATAATTCATTATATACTTCAAGAATATTGAAAATTTCCTGAAGCCAGATTCTGCTACCTTCTATTTATGCAGGCTGTACAGAGGCAATCCCACTGCTGCTAGGAAAAAAAGTGCTACTTGCTATGAAGGAGGTGGGCAGAATCAGACCCTTCCTAAAAGCCTCCTGAAAGCTGGGGAAATGCAAAAGGGTCCAGGTTTCAAAAAGTGCATTTTGACATATAACTAAACTGCCTTGTGATCCCAACCAGCAAACCAGGGAGGCTTACCACAGCCTTGCCGAATGCTTTAACAAACAGAAATTCCTCCATCGCATTCTGGGAATAACAACAACAACAAAAAAGGAAACCTTTATGAGGAGAAAGCAAATGCAGCTGTGAACCTGGGAGGCCAGGTGAAAGGATGTGCAAACACCTAAAAAGTACTTTCCGTTAGCAAGTTTTTTTTTCAGTCATCTGGCTCTTCCCGCTCCCCCTGCCCCAGTCCCGGGGGTGATGGTCCTTGCAGCACACTTTTCCAGACCCACACCAAACCTGACACATGGGCTGCAGCCGCAAGCCGAACGTCTGCTTCCAGATGTGCCTGCCGGCCCCAGCGGAGCTGCTCCCCCGTCCCGCAGCCTGCCACCCCAGGTCGGCTGCTAAACTCTCCCGGGGTACCCAGCAAATAAGTGACTGCCCAAATCCGGATCCTTCCTTAGCTCTGCCCTTGCTCTGGTTTCTAACCAAACGCCGGTGAGGTGCTCCCTGCCTCCACCACGTTTTGCAGCGCTGACTGTCCCCTCCCTGTCCCGACCCGGGCGTTTTCCTCCTGTGGAAACCGTGGTATGGGACAGGAGAAGGACGATCCATTTTAGACACAGGTCCCATCCCCGCACATGGCCAGGATGTGGCCGGGACCTGCATCCGAATCCAGAAGTCGGCGAGCAATCTGGGGCCCCATGATTTAGACGTCGTTCAAGTGCTGCTAGAGGAGTCGTGCGTATGCAGTTTACAGAAACGGAGCTTTTTTATGAGATACTTTTCCTTTCCATCCATAAAGGCAATAGAGAGCTCTTTCTCTTCCGGAGCTTCAGGCCATGGAGTTCATTTTGAAATGTGCACAGTCTTTCGAGATTGATGGAGTTCCAACTATTGATTTTCTTGAGTTGTTCATAAGTTAACATTTACCATAAAGGTCTTGATGAGAAAATTTAAAAAAAAAAAAAAAAAAAGGCAAACTGAAAACCAAAAACCAAAAACCAAACCAAACCAAACCAAACCAAAAGAAAAAAAAAAAAAACAAAAAAACCCAAACAAAACAAAACCCCAAACATTTTCAAAACAGCAGAAGTTGGGGAGATAATGAACCAGACACAACTTTAAACAAGGTATTTTAAAAAGCATTAAACCTTCCTTCCCTTTTTTAAATTAGTGGTAAAAGAAAATATGAAAAAAAAAAAAATCCAACCAAAACCCAGAAGGGTGATAAGCAGCTTTTATTGTTGAGTTCATTACTGTGATTATTTTGGGAGAGAAGACATTTTTCTCTTAATTCATGAAGCAGAAACAAGCTCTTTGGAGGCTGTAGTAAAAAGATCTCCTTAAAAATGACTGCAGAAAGATGACTTTGCTAGAAAATTCCAGCTGGCTCAGCCATACCCGTATGCCTGAGACGCTTGATTATGGCTCGACTAATTCTCAGCTACCCTCATCACAGCACGGCCAAGACGGGGATCTCCCAGGAGCCAGCGTCCCGCCAGCAGCGGCACAGCAAGCGGGAGGATGCGATGGGCTGGGATGCCGTGAGCAAAAGAAGGGATTCGGCCGTGACAGTGGGCTGTGCTGCGGCAGCCCGACCTGTTCTTAATGTGGGGGGACCGGCTTGCTCCCCTCCAGCCTGCGGAAACCGGGGTGCAGCTTGAAGGCCGGGGCCGGCCAGGGCTCCCACACCCGTTAGTCACCGTGCTGCCCTGGAAATGGCAGGGAACGTAACTCTCCCCCCTCCTCCTTCCTCTCTCCCCAGCCCAGTGCTGGGGTGAGCTGCCGACAAGCTCACCGACAGCGAGGGCAACGCATGAAAGAAAACACACAGCCGACAGAAAAATGAAACGCACATGGCGGGGAATAATATTTCATTTGTGCAGTAGCGGCCCTGCGCGAGCAGTGTAAATAAAGCAGGTTACTGAGACGTGAATATACCACTGTTTATAAATACTAGCCCTTCTGCCTGGAGACGTGCGTGAGGAGAGCTGGACACTCGTGAGGTCACCCCGCCACATTTTATGATTTACATAAATCATGTCAACACCACTAGCAGGAGCAGCGGGCGAACAAGGCCGCATGAAGTGAGCCATTCAGGCTCCTGTCACAGGTCTTAAAACAGGTAGAAGCTGTTAACGGGCCCACCAAATCTCTTAAAATGCAGAGGGGATGAGGGATAATCCAGCTGGGGAAGCAAGGCATGCACCCACCCTGCGTGCCTCAGCCGACAGAGGCCTTCCCGGGATCTGAGGAGCAGAAAGCCAGCCAAAACGCAAGCTCTGGTGAAGCCCAAGAGCTAAACTTCTTATTAATGTTCACCTTCACAGAGGGTAGTGTGTCCCACTAAGCAACTGCTCTGATGAAGAAAATGCCTGAGCCGCCTGGGGAAGGTGAAGAAAACACCCCATGGTTGCTGCGTGCAGGAGCCTTCCTCCCCTTATTTACCAAGCGCATGGAAAATGTGACTTTTTTTTTTTTTTTTTTTTTTTGCCAGAGGAATCAATATTCCGGGACTAAACGGAAGCCCCTCGGTAGGTTTGCCTTGCATCCGAGTGCCTGTGGTCTGGGGGTCGAAGAGGAAGGCAGAGCCAGGACAGACGCAGGAGAGCGGTCCCACAAATTTCCTTTTGACTCCCTGGGTCCCACAAATTTCCTTTTGACTCCCCGGGAGCCCCACGTCTACCCGGGATCATGCAATACAAGGCCAAAGAGGCAGCTAAGGATAAAAGTGGCAGAGACAAAGAGTTTTCCTTTCCCTTGCCACTTTTCAGCCATGTATCACTATGGGGTTGTCCTCACTTCAAAGGGCAGTAGTCCCTTTTGGTCCGATCTGCCCAGCTCCAGAGACAGATGATGCCATCAGGGTGGGTGCCTGAAACATTGAGGATCTGGCTCGCAGTCTTTAATTCCGCCCAAATTTCAGCTCTAATAACATGTAATTATGTAAGATAATTGTAAAAATTACAATTACACATGAACGTGTATAATTATGCAAAAGAAATGTAAAAAAATATAAAAGCAGTACAAAATCCTCATGATACATTGCTGGTATGTGGACATGTACTATTCACTAGTCTTAAATGCAACTTGATTTAGAAATATTACTTTGACCATAAGTGAACCGTGTTCTGTGTGATTCCTGTTGATCTACAGCTGTGACACGTTCTCCGAGAAGAACAGATGTAAATATTAGAGAAAATTGGAAAGTGTTCTGGGAAATGTTTTTCACTGGAAAATGTGGATTTGTCAAAATCAAAGCCTTAGGGAAGAGAGGGGACTTTTTTATGAATATGCCATATTCAAATACAACTGGAAAACGTTTTTTAGAATTATCAAAATATCCTCTTTCTATACTTTCAAAAGAAAATATATGATTTTTAGACTGAAAGTAAGCTTCTGTTTTGAAATCTAAGTAAATTTACACTAAAAATGTCAAAAAAAACCCCATACTTAAGTCAAAACACTGCAAAGCTTAACAAAGACCAACATTTCAGAGCTAATTTCTTTTTGATCCCACCTAAATTTTTATATTTTATTCTTTATATTCAATTTTTTATTCAAGATTTGCACTTTTAGGACCAATCTGAAGCAGGAAAAGTTCTTGCGGGTATGCAAAATACGATAAGAGCAGAAAACCATTTTCTTTCACCTCTGCTGATCTGTAAAAATGTGTTTTCAGCAGACCACAGACAGATCACGCAAGCTCTAGTATCATCTCCAGAGAAGCTTCACCAAGCTGGAAGGGAGGGATCTCAGTCCTTCAGCCCCCCACCTCTCCACCCCTGGGGGCCAGCAGATAATCCTTGCTCTGCTTCCCCAGCCTCATTTTGGATCCCAGGGGAATTTTTTTTTTTCCCAAAGGAGAAATGCCGAGGTGCCCTGCAGCCGGTGCCTTCCCCCTCTGCGTAGAGGTGGCACCGCGGTGGGGTCCCTCCCTTGCACAGGGGTGACCTCTGCGTCCTCGGCCAGTCAAGGTCACAGCTTGAAGAAGCAGGTACCTGCTGCTTGAAACGAAGCCCTGAGTAAAAACCAAAAGATTTGGTTGTTTTTGATACTGTGCCTTCCTGACGGTGACTTCTTTTCAGGGGCAATTAAATGCTAAGCATCGGTCTGTTAAATTTAGTGGCAATTTCAGTTGTAGGCGGCATCAAGTCAAGGACAATTTCAATTTCAGGGCAGCTTTTATTTCATGTTTTGAAACTGAGAGCGCTTTCTATTCAAGAGCAGCTTTTGTTTGAAATAATATAGCTTAGCCTGTTTCTCCGTGGCCCTGATCCCACACCTCAGAAAGGACCTCACTCACAGCCAGAATCCGACCGAAAATCAGGTGTTTTCATCAGGGAGACTGAAGCGCCCTAAGCACAGGCTGGGACTTTCCCTGCATGCCTGTCTCGGTGTAGGGAGGGTTATTAGGATCCAGGGGTTTTCTACCTGAAAGCCCCCCAGCCCAGACCCACTGGCGAGACCCTTCGGGAGAAGAGTCATCTGCGGGATTTGACTTTGGACGCAGACCCGGATCGGAGCTCCAGCAGTTTGCAGAGGTATTTTGTTTAGGCATGTCATTCGGTTCTCTGTGGGAGAGGGTGTGCACAGCCACTCGTACGTGCCTGCACAGCCATGCTGCTTCTCTCTACATGCAAGAGCTTCCCTGAGCTACCTTCCTTAAGACTCGGGTTTTATATTACCAGGTAAATTTCCTTTCGGCTTTATTTGCATGGAGCAAGAGTGACATTCTGTGGCCAGTTAGATTTATGGCAGCATTCTCTCGCTCTCTTTTTTCCCCTCCCATAAATACCTCAGGGTATAAACCACCCTCTGATAGTCTTTTGTTTTGTTTGTGGCTTCTATCACGCTTTGTGAGAAATAAAAATAGAGGAATTCTCAAACACGTTTCTGTGGCATAAAATCCTTAGGGACTGCTTTACCGCAAATTCCTGACAAATTCAGATGTCTATGTACTGATTATTATTTTATGAGAGCAATGCCTGATCGTAATGTAAGTAACCAGAAGCATGAAGAGACTATGACACGTTCCTCAGGCTCCGCTCTAGCTGGCTCAGCCCGTTGTA